AAAAAAAAAAAAAAAAAAAAAAAAAAAAAAAAAAAAAAAAAAAAAAAAAAAAAAAAAAAAAAAAAAAAAAAAAGGTTCATTCCAAATACAATAGATAATCCTTCGAGGACATTTCATTAAATTTTCCTTCCGGATTTCATTGTCGGCCTCCTAAATGGTTTTTTCTTTAATTGGTCTCTTGTGGAAATCTTTTTCCCAGTATTCATCATTTCAATACATTCATCATCGTTACTCCAAATATCAAAGTCATCATCATAACCACCGTTAGTTCCATTACCGCCCGTGTAAATTCTATTACCATATCCATTACCACCACTATAATATATTTCGTTAACCTTTTCACTACTTTTATTTTTATTATTCCTACTAAAATTTTCATAATAAAAATGTTCTACATCAATTTCTAATAAGGTCTTTAAAAATTCATGAATCATTGTACGGATCAAATCATTCCTTTTCTGCGATACCAGTAAACTTGGTGATGGAAGTGGTGATATAATGTCGATTTCATTATCCGTGTGTTTATTTGTGGAAATCATAAATGGTTTGGTGGGTTTTGAGCTTAAAAATGGTGGTGATGCATTTTGTTTTTCCAAATATCGGAATAACATAAATATCGCGGCATCTCGCGCACTTTCCGAATAATGAGTCGTATTCACTCCTTTCAAAATAAAAAGAAAGTTTAGCATTAAGGTCATCGACATGATATTTATTTCGATTCACATGATAGCCCAACATACCTATTTCTTGTTTCATTAGTTCGGCTGTGGGACTTCGGATAAATCGAGCAAAGCTAACTTCCAACAACACAAAGATGGCTCTCTTCGCATCGTCAAAACAATTTCTTGGATCACGTTGACTCTTTATTGAAGCTATGACGGATTTACGAACTTTATCATCAATATTTACTTCAAATTGTGAATTACGAGTTAAATATGTATCAAATATATGTTGTGCCGTTGTATACTGTTGCGTTGAATTTAAAAAGTCAAATGATTCATATTGCTCTACTTCTAGAAAGAAAAACTGAAAAAAAAAAGTTTCGAAAGATGTTAATTGAACGAATTCTAATGTATGCTAGTCAATATTTTTCACGCCATTTTCTTAAAAAGGGACGTACCAAATTTTCGCATGAATACTCTTCAAGCAACGAATATAAGAAATAGCATAAAGGTATTTTTGAATGCAAGATAGCTTTTAACCCTTCCTTTTCAATTTCCCTAACACAAATATCTATTGGAGGTTTATCTCCAAAAAAATTTGTTAATTTCCTAGAAGATATTTTGGCACGTTTTTTATATTGATTATGATTATCATAGTTTATCGAAGGAATTAAAGGACGTTGAGACTTGAAGGAAGGTATTATTGGAGTTGAAAGGGAACGTGAATGTTGTTGTTGTTGCTGCTGCTGAGCATGTTGAGATAATGTCCTGTTATGTTTTTTATATCTTTGAAAACTTTTTAAATCATCATCTGAAAATATATCATCAACTTCATCCTCGTCATCCTCCATAATATCATTATCATCCTCATCATACTCTTCGAAAAAGTCAGGAAACGGTGGAGGGGGAGGAGGAAAATGCATTTTTGAAGGTGAGAAATCCGAAGATTTTATAAACTCGTCGGTGTTCATTGGTTGCGATAAAATCATCTCTGATATTACGGTGGTGGTGGTGGTGGTGGTGATTTCTCTCAATAAAGAAGTTGAAGAAGTTGAAGTTGTTGTAATAGAGTCTATCATTACAATAGAACTTCTACGAGAATTTGATTTAATGGATTCAATCGAAACAGCCGATCCACGACGTTTTGAAATTATATTTGGAGTTTTCGCTGCCAGCAGTGATTTTTTTATGTCTTCTTCATGAATTTTCGACGTCACGTCTATAACCGATGGACGTCTTCTTGATGATGATCTGGGAAGAGAACTGTTAGGTGAAGACATCTTATTTTTAATTATATATGTATATATATATCTATTTAAATAAATATTTTTTTTTTTTTTTGTTTTGAGGTTTGAAATAGGCAGCGAAGGGGTAAAAAAAAAAAAAAAAACCAAAAAAGAACAAAAGGATGCATATTATATAAAAAAAAATTTTTACTTTAAAACACAGTAAACAAAATAAATATTAAGTATAGCCACAAATGGTAAATAAAGTAGCACTGTGCTATTTCATAAGATGTATTAATCGGTGTACAAGTATCTTTGTGGATAACTCCATGCAGTATATGTAACTAATCTAAAATTTGAAATTCAAAAAAAAAATAAAGCCCCCAAAATGAAGGGAGCCACGAATTAATGGTAAGTAAAACAAGACACATTTACTAGATGAAACTTGATATCTTTGACAATAAAATCATTTTTGTATTATAAGTTACAATTTTCGTGATAAGAAAAAATACAAAGAACAAAACAAATGTTTCAAACAAAGAGTTCTTATGTATGGAAACACAAGGAGAAAAAAAAAAATTTCCAAAAAGAAAATCAGGTAGTGAAACAACCTTAAAAAAAAAGTTACGCCCCACGTTTAATATGCAATGAATATATTTACCTTAAAATAAGCTAAACAATTATTTCTATAAAAAGGCAACACATTAATTACATGATCTTTTAGGAAATTTTAACAGCAAAGAAAAATAAGGAAAAAATTTTTTTTTGTAAGAAATTGTTTACAAAATAATGATTTCAAAACAAAAAATAAAAAGGAAAATATCTACAGTAGAAATTAAATTTTATCATTTTATCCGAACCCATTTTGCCCGTTGTTATAATCGACCTTGTTTTATTTATTTTTCTCGTTTGGTAAAAAATAAAAAGGTTACAGAATAATTTCTTTTTCTTTTTTATTTAACTATTTTAAGTTTTTCCGGAATTTCAAAATCAGCAGGCCAGACACCAATAAAAAAAATCCTGGATTTGTAAAGACCCAGTACTTTATTCGGTACGACGAGAATCACTTTCGTACCTTCTACCTTCAAAATTATGTCATATAATTTTATTGTTTTCCATATTAATTAACATTTCTGTAAAGCCAGAATTAGATTCCAATGCGAGTTTTGTTTTCATGGATGATGATCTTCGTATTGTTCTATTTCTTTGAATATGCCAAATCTATACACACGTTATTCATATTCTCGGATTTGTATTACTAAATAACTTGTTTGGTATCTGACGTCTTTACGATACATCAAGTTTACGATTCGTGATTTATTTATTCATTATTCATTACATTTAAATCTTCCTTATGATTTTAATTGGATATACAAATATTACAGACCCGATATAAAATTTCCCGATTTATTATATAAAGTCCTATTGTATTAAATTTTTTTATGATCTTTCCCTTCGTGAAAATATCTTCGTTATAATATGGTTATAAAACTTTTAAATCGTAACAATGCAAAGTTATATCTTTTTGTTTCAAGGATGATGCTCATTAAATTTAGTTAAAAACGTTATAACCGTTACGATCTTTTGTGTATTTGAACTTTGTTGGGTCGTCTTCTTCAATAATAACTTTAAATGCTACTGGGTCAATATTAAACCTGCATGTTCCTTTCGTTCCTTTTTACGTAAACTTCCGTAAGTAATGGTAAGTTTGAAAATATCATATAGCTTCTTTTATTTTCAAACTTAAAATTCATATGCACAATGTGCATGTGCACAATTTTGCGCACAAAAAAAAAATATATTGATGTGTATAAAAAATTTGGTTTTACTTTTAAAATTTCATTTATTAATATAGCAAAATACTTACTTAATAAAAAAATAAGATAATTAAAAGAAAAAACCAAAATGATGAAAGTACAAAGATAATTATATTGAAACTATTGAAGAAAAACTAAATAATATATGTTAAAAAAAAGACAAAAAAAAAATAATATATATATTTAAATAAAGATAGACCTCAATCATGGCTTTATTATAAAAAAAAGATGCAACTATACTAGTATATAAATAACTATTGACTCAGAATAACTAAAAGATGATTGTATATAATGACATGAAAAATCAAAAGAAAAACATTAAAAAATTGAATACAAAAGATCAAAGTCAATTAATTATTAAAGAAGGATTTATATGTTTTAATTATAGAGTATTTGATCATATTAGAATCTTGATACAAGCATCTTTCCTTATTTTTGAAAATTTATTTTTGATCTCTATTAAATTTTTAATTTATGATAATTAGTAAACAAAGAAAATATTAAACAAAATAATTAATTTATAATATCAAATAGGTAGTAATCAAGTATTAATTACTAGATGTATACAATGACTTTCATAATTATTATACTACTTTGTTTGTAATTTTTAGATTGTAATAAATAAAAATTTGATAATTAAACGATTTGCAGATTTAATTAATGTATTATCTGAGTCTTATTTTATAATATATTCAAATTCAAATTTCTTTTATTTATAATTTTATAAAAAAATTCTTTTATAACCATAAATTTTATGGTATAATATTTCTGACGCATATAACAAATAAAATCAAAAACAAAATTTTCAAATTTTTTTTAACAAACTATACTCTAATTTTTTTTAACAAAACTATTACCATCTCATATATTTAATATTAGCCTTAAGTACATCTTTAACTTGTTGTGACATAATATTAATTAGCTTTAAACAAAAATCAGCATTAATTTGATTTCATATTAATTGTATTTTATTTCACAAATCTTTTGCACTAGTAATATTATCAGAAAGCTATCTTAAATAATGATCAATTTTATTTCACAAATATTCAATAGGATTTAAGTTCAGTGATTGTGCTGGCTAATCTAAAATTTTAATTTATTCAAAGCATAGCTAAGAACATTTTCAATTAGACACATTGTGATGCAAGGTATGTCTGTCTGCACGCATGATCGTCTAATAATATGCATTATTGTATTATTATGAGGTTTGATTTCTTTATTTACATCATTTTACTGTTATTGTGACGTGATGTATTTTTAATTTTAGTTTTTGTTCTTAAATTATATTAAAGATATTAAAAATAATTAAAATTGATATAAAGATACAAAAGTTAGATGATAAATATATAATAAAGATAAGAAAGGAATACAAAATGTGTTAAGACTATCATAAAATTTTATATTTATATAGTATTTTTTTCTTTACGGAGTCTACCAAAATTTTAAAATTCAATGTATCGAATCTGATGTTTTTTGTTAAACCAGCTTTATATTAAACTATAAAACATTAATAAAAAAATCTCGATATATTAAAGTTTTCTATATACTGAAGTTTTGAACTAAAATGTAAACTTCAGTATATCAAGAGTTGACTATACTTATATTGTCTTTAAATTATATTAACTATTAAGAACAACCTTAGCTTTTTTTTTATTTATTGTGGTTGTATTTTGATACAAATAAAGTCTTTTACAAATAAAAAGATTACTTTTATTATTATATATATTAAATAAAGAAAATAAAAAACCATTTTTTATTGAATAAATTGTTAAATGTGTAATTGTTATTTTACTTAAGATTTATAACTGTTGTTTTACTTTGCATAATAAATGTTCGCCTCCTTTGTGATACACTTCAAAAATGTAAAAACTGAGAAAATGAAACTTCTGATCAATATTAACAACGTCTAGATTATGATAAAGTTTTTAAACGTATAAAAAGAGCGGTTGAAAATGCTGATAAATGTGAGAATCGACTAAATAATAATTGTGTACGAAAGCGAAAGAGATTGAGTTGCCTTAATGATTGCACTAATCGTCAGAATACTACTAATTTACATGTTATTGATAACCATTATCTTCCCGATTCTGACTGAAAACTTCTGCATGATTTTTACTTGAAGATTAATAGGTTGGCTAATAATCTCTGTCCTATATGCAATGAACGTTTCCCATTTATTGAGATTGTCTGAAATGCATGTCATCGCTGTTATATAGAAAAAATAAGGTAAAAAAGTTCTCAGCAAAAAATAACATGGACTCTGATAACGTACCTGAAGAATTATAAGGACTTACCTAAATAGAAGAGATGTTGATTGCTCAAATTTTTCTGATTGTCTCTGTATACTATCTTTGTGATGATCAATATGCGTATTGTGGTCATGTGATTAATTTTCTTCAGAATGTGCAAAAATTTGCTACACGTTTACCTCATTGTCCTTTAATACTTGATATTCTTGTTGTATATTATCACTCTTTTGATGGTAAAGTATTTAAAGATTTTAACATATGTCAATCTATAGTATTTCATGCTCTTTACTAGTTGAAGCTTAATAATCATTATTATTCGAATATTGTCATTGATGAAGAAGTTTTGAGGTCATTACCTGAAACAGTTCACTTGATGGTCAGATTCTACAACTTGAGAATATGGGTGGTGAAATAGATAGTAAAGTGATGATGAGGTAGACAACCTCAATGACTCTATATTGAGTAATTTTGTACCTGTTCTCATTCCTATTCCTAACGAAGAGAGGGTTGTTGCTGATGCACTTGCTCGATTGCAAACAGATAATGTTCCTGTCATGTGACCATATATAGATAGTGTTCCTGTAAATGAATTCCAAACTTCTGGCTATATCGCTCGTGTCTTTTTGACTTTATATCCTACTGGTGCTGCTGATTTTTGATCTGAACGTATTAGGGATATAAAGCCAGCCAAGTATTTTTTGCACTTGCTTAAGTATAAAATGGATATTTTGCTTATTATACACGCTGGTATTACTTTGCTTTGAACTCACAAATAAGGTAAAGAGTCTTACAAGAAGATAAAGTGTATGTAAATCAAAGCTTGAATACCCAGTAGTGTATCATTGAAGATTTACAGAAAATGCTTGAGAATGATAGTCATGTAATGAATCATATTGTATGATTTAGTGAAGGTTTACAAGGATCTTATTAGTTTTGGTACAGACGTTAATTAGAATTGTCTGACATGATTAAGCAATTGGGAACTCAGGGAATGATATTTTTTACCTTTAGCGTTGTCAATTTTCATTGGCCTAATTTATACAAATTGATGCTATATGGTGACTCTCTGAGTACATTATCAGAACAGAACATGAACAAATACAAGCAGCAAGACTTAATCAACAATTCTCATATTACTGCTTAGTTTTTTGAGAAGAGGTTTAAGTTGTTTTTTGAAAAAGTTTTGGTACTGAAATAGAATTTTGAAGATTAGTGGTACCAATTTGAGTGGCAGCATTGTAGAAGCTCTCACGTATATAGTATTGCTAAAGAAAAGATGCACCTATTATTAATTAGAATAAAATGAAAGATGATAAGGAATTAATGAATAATGTAATACAATACCTGGATTTTTTGGTTACTATGATTAATTCTGATCTTGACACACTATTTCCTGAACGTTATCCCTGCCAAAAATATTCTAATGAGCTGCAATATGACTTACAGGATTATGTCAATTTAGTTAACAAGCTGCAATATTATATCTGATGTAATCCTTCTTACTGCCTTCATGTTGATCGTACTGGACAACAATATTGCAAGTTTAAATATCCAAAAGATATCACTGAAAATACATATTTACAAAATGATAATGGAAAGCCTGAATTAATTACTGCAAGGAATGACCTACTTCTTAATCCTCACGATTACTTATAGCTTCAAGGTTAGCATGTAAATGTTGACCTAAAACCTATTATTAGTGTAGATATTGCATTACGTTATATTTTTAAATATACAAGTAAAGTAGAATCTCGCTTTGCTACTTTTTCAGATATTTTATCCACAATTATTAATGATAGCAATCCAAGTGATCCATCCTTATAGCAATTCAAGATTTACTGCTTCAGACTGTTTCAGAACGTGATATATTTGCTCAGGAGACGTGCCATTTACTTCTTAGCCTTCCTTTTTATCATTTCAGCTATCAGTTTATCTTTTTAAACTTCAAGAAAGGTGCTCTTCAATGGCTCTATAGATCTGAAAATGCTCTGTTTTCAGCAGATGATAAAGTTGGTTAGACAGTGTAATTTCTTTTTCAAAAATATTGGAATTGTACTGCTGAACTTGAGGATCTTTCACTTTTTCAACTTTATCAGAATTATTGTTATTCTAAAGGTCACTAAAAATGGTACGAATGTGAAAATATTATGCATGTTTGGTCGCATTCTTTCTCTTACCGTAATGGTTCTTAATAGAAAGACTTTTATCAAATTAAAGTTTTTCTTCATATTAGCTATTGTAATCTAAATGCTTTGATTGAGAATAACAATGTTTTCTGGTCTGATCTTTTTGAATGTTACCAAGAAAGAATTGAAAATATTTATGATTTACTTAGTTTATCTGTGTAAAACTTAGAAAATGATATTACTGAAGATGAAAGTGAGAATAATAAAGATTTAAATAATAGTAAATATGAAGGTGAAATATGACCTGATTGGATGATCCTTTTTAAAATAAAACCTAGTGTAATATTTGAGATTTCTTCTAATTTGAATTTTCGCAATATTGACAAAAATTATGATTAGGTTTCTGATCTTAGACTCTGTTACCCTGATCTTGATCTTGCTGTCATTCCTAACTTTATACAGTAAGTTTGTGAATCTACAAATTTTGATATAAATTTTCCTAATCACATAGTAGATTCTCAATTTTTGAATGAGAACCAGATGATGGTGTTCAAGCGAGTTGAATCTCATTACACTACCTTACTTAATAATTCTGAATACATTGATTCACTCAAACTTATCGTGTTAGGAACTGCTAGTACAGGAAAATTGTATTTAATAAAATGATTCAGGATCGTTTTTGTGAAATTGCACGTGATTATAATATTAATATTTCACCTATTATACTGCTAATTTTGACTGATATTGTAGCGTTCAATATTCATAGTTCAATTATATATTCATCATTTTCCATTCTAGTATCTGCCAAAACTTTTGATTTAACTGGTAAAATCTGAAAAGGTTGCAAAGTAAATTAGATAGTATGTACTATTTCATTATTAATGAAAAAAGTATAGTTAATTATCATATGTTTGCATTAATTGATTTGCATCTACAACAAGCCTTCTTAGAATGCAAAAATTATGCGTTTGGTAGGCATTCAATAATTCTGATTAGGAACTTTGGTCAACTTCCTCCTGTACTAGATGAACTGATGTACTCTCAAGTCATTTGACGAGATTCCCTATCAAATGATGCTATTACAGTTTATCAACAATTTCATGAGGTCTATTATCTTGATATTATTCAATATCAATTAGATGATTTGAACGAATAATGCAGATTTAGAGATCTTCTATTGTGTTTACGTGATACTAAATCTACTAAAAATGACTAGATGTTACTTGCTACTCAATTTTCTAATACTCCAGACGTGTTATTCTCATTAAATCATGCTCATTTTTCTGGTGTCACATCTATTATACCATGTAGATCTGATATTAAAGAGTTTAACATTAATAAACTCAGATCCTTGAATTTCTTAATTGCTAGAATTAATGCTATTCATGCTGAAGTTAGAGCTTGTAAAGTTGATTTTAATATAGTGAAAGACCTTGAGCCTTTCTTATTATTGTCAAGAGATTCAAGAATAATACTTAGGATTAACTTATAGACTGAGGCTGGTTTGATTAATAGTTCAGTAGGCATTATTCAAAAAATTATTTTAAAGAAAATCAGTCACTACCTTCTCATTCTCTTTCTATTGCTATCATGGTGGAGTTTGATAACTATTCTTGTCCTGCTATCCTAACTGCTAATGGGAAAAAACTTGTTCTGATTGTGCTAATTAGGTATATCTGAGAAGGAAAAAAAGGTCCTTGTTCTCGTTTGTAGATTTTGCTTTGCCTAGCATAGGCAATTATGGTGCATAAAAATTAAGGCCTAATATTAAAAAGACCGTAATAGATCTTGGAAGAAAGGAATTTGCTGCTGGCCTCTCATTTGTGACAATATCTCAGGTCTCTACTTCAATAATATTCTTTTCAGCCCGTTTTCACTCAAAAGACTCTACCGCATTAAAAATTGTAAGAGTTGCATGAGAGAATAGTCAAAGAGAATCATTTGATCTCTATGATATCTCAAAATGATTGCTGATTAGCACACAAAAATCTATTTAAATTAGAATTTTTTTTAGGATATGGAAATTCATTTTTACCGAAAATATGTTATATCAGAAATTTTAAATAGTTCTCAGAATTTCAAAAAAACTTTTTTGTCAAAAAATAAAATACAATATTTTTGACATATATAATTTTGCTATAATACATATACCTATTATAAATTATAAATTAGTAAATTAATGTTTCAAATATTACAACAGTTCCCGTTACCTAGTAGTTAATAATTTATATTATTCTTTATTATTGTTTTATATTTAAATCTTAAAGTTTTTCTTTCAATATTGAAAAATATATTTATAAAATTATTTAGTTTAAATAAATTAAATATTAGCTATAAAAATATTATTATTTGTATCAATATTTAAACTATTAATAAATTTAATAATAGAATAGCTTTTTGTAATATATAAGTTTTATTTTATAAAGCTTTTAGTTTTAATTTAACTATTGTTATTCTGATTGACTAACAATTTCATTTAATATATTAATTTCTATTTAAATAATTGTATATCTATTTACATTTATTAAAATATTTTGTCTTGTATTATTAAGCAAATTAATTAATTTCTAAATTTATTTAAAAGTAATTTTATTATTAAACTATTTTAAAACTTTTTTTCTACATTCTTTAAAATATTTTATTATATCTTTTCTTATTATTAGAACTTCTATTATCTATTAGATTAATACTTTAATTTATAATTATAATTTAAATTTACT